CCCCAAAACCCCAAAACCCCAAAACCCCAATATGGTAAACTTTAATTGAAAATTATATGGCGTCTCACTTCAACCTGAAGCTAAACTACTCTCCTAACATGGAAGCTCTGAATAGAATAAGTAAGTTTCATAATGAATTACTCTAGAAAATAAATTGCATAAGAACGTAAGTAGAGATATCTTCTTTAGACATTAGGGGTCTCTAATCAAAGACATATAGCAGAGTCCTCTAAAAACAACTAAAAGAGTTAAATAAATCCTTCATTAGTCCTTCATACTTGCTAAGGTCCAGTCAGAGAAGAAGGAAGAGCACTGAAGAAAGGGATGTCACACCTTCTATCCAACTTCATAGGTATAGCAAACCTGATAACAACTTAACATAAAAATATACGATCTGTTCGATAGCATTAAGGCTAAGAAAAGGTAAACATTTGCTGCCAAATTTGACACTTTATGTGCCCCTTATTTTGAAATATGAAAAATACTATTTAGCAAACATGTCAACATATTCAAACCTCAAGGGAATCAACGGGTGAAAGTGTTCCCTCTGAAGCAGATAAGCATGGCCCCACTGAATTTGAGTCAGGTTCAAGAAGAGAATCGTACAGCATCTGTAGCATTTTCCTTATAATATGTAGATATTTCCAGGTAATAAACTCACAAGACAAAGGAATGCAAATATGAAACTTTTCAAAAGCTTGAAGTAATTCATCTTTTTATAATATAGAAAAACATACCACCCAAGAAAAGTAGGAGGGTCAGCTATTAAGCACAGGAATACTCAAAGCCAGTTCCGTGATGGTAATTTTTATAAGGGAGAATTGATAGACACCCTGAATTACTTCCACAGAAGTTGCTTCCAAATCAATGATGACGAGAAGTTGGAAAATACATGAATTTCTTACAACCAAGATTTTAAGATTGATGTTTCAAAGAGATCTTTTAATATGACTTCAGAACCTAGAGCTTCGGTAAAGTCAAAGAACAATAAGAAGCTATTCGAAAATAAATTTAATAATAATCTAACTCACCAGTCTTCAGAAAAGTAAGTGTCACAACTATTTCTTAGGAAAAAACACTTGGATTTGAGCTGAATTGAGCAACATCCAAAGAACTTTGGCACTCCAAACAAAAATATTATTGGGAAAGAATACCTTTGCTGAGACGCTCAAGTATCTATCATCGGACCTTCACATAGGAGGCGAAATATTCTATCTAAAACCCAGGCTAAATTCAACACGGACCAAGGTCTTTAAAGCAGTCCTAGACTAGTTCACCGCCAAAATGGACTCTCTATACTCCCTATTTTTGATAATTAGGAAGATAACTAATTTTCCAAGTATTTTTTAATTTTGGCTAAAACCATTATTTCTTGAATTCCAGTAATCTTTGAATACTCTCCATGAAATATTTATTTCCTAACTTCAATGAAAATGTGCAAGTGGTCTTCAAGAATGCATGAAATATTTCAAGTTGAGAAGGGTTAGTCTTGGGAGCTTTAGAGGCTAAAATATTAAACATTAGTAAACATTTATAAGCACTTGGGTCACAGTTTAGAGCAGAAGTCAATGCCTTAACTGCTTTCAGAATGCGTGACCTGACTTTTATCAATATTTTATTTTAAAGAATTCTCAATTTGCCACTTAATTGCTGGGGTTTTGGGGTTTTGGGGTTTTGGGGTTTTGGGGTTTTGGGG